AGTGTGTGTGTCTCAGTGTATCAGTGTGTGTCTCAGTATGTCTCAGTGTGTGTCTCAGTGTGTCTCAGTGTGTCTCAGTGTGTCTCAGTGTGTGTCTCAGTGTGTCTCAGTGTGTGTGTCTCAGTGTGTCTCAGTGTGTCTCAGTGTGTCTCAGTGTGTATCAGTGTGTGTCTCAGTGTGTCTCAGTGTGTCTCAGTGTGTGTGTCTCAGTGTGTCTCAGTGTGTCTCAGTGTCTCAGTGTGTCTCAGTGTGTGTGTCTCAGTGTGTCTCAGTGTGTCTCAGTGTGTATCAGTGTGTATCAGTGTGTCTCAGTGTGTATCAGTGTGTCTCAGTGTGTCTCAGTGTGTGTCTCAGTGTGTCTCAGTGTGTCTCAGTGTGTCTCAGTGTGTGTCTCAGTGTGTCTCAGTGTGTGTCTCAGTGTGTCTCAGTGTGTCTCAGTGTGTCTCAGTGTGTCTCAGTGTGTCTCAGTGTGTGTGTCTCAGTGTGTCTCAGTGTGTCTCAGTGTGTCTCAGTGTCTCAGTGTGTGTTCAGTGTGTCTCAGTGTGTGTCTCAGTGTGTCTCAGTGTGTGTGTCTCAGTGTGTCTCAGTGTGTCTCAGTGTGTCTCAGTGTGTCTCAGTGTGTGTCTCAGTGTGTCTCAGTGTGTCAGTGTGTGTGTCTCAGTGTGTCTCAGTGTGTCTCAGTGTGTATCAGTGTGTATCAGTGTGTCTCAGTATGTCTCAGTGTGTGTCTCAGTGTGTCTCAGTGTGTCTCAGTGTGTCTCAGTGTGTGTCTCAGTGGTCTCAGTGTGTGTGTCTCAGTGTGTCTCAGTGTGTCTCAGTGTGTCTCAGTGTGTCTCAGTGTGTGTCTCAGTGTGTCTCAGTGTGTCTCAGTGTGTGTGTCTCAGTGTGTCTCAGTGTGTCTCAGTGTGTATCAGTGTGTATCAGTGTGTCTCAGTGTGTCTCAGTGTGTGTCTCAGTGTGTCTCAGTGTGTCTCAGTGTGTCTCAGTGTGTGTCTCAGTGTGTGTGTGTGTGTCTCAGTGTGTCTCAGTGTGTCTCAGTGTGTCTCAGTGTGTCTCAGTGTGTGTCTCAGTGTGTCTCAGTGTGTCTCAGTGTGTGTGTTTAATGGACTGTGTGTTCAAGGTTGAGCTCTAATGGGTTCTGCTTCCATTGGATCCATTAAGGAGAAAACGATTCTCTGTCTGAACGACTTTAAGTAGCAAAACTTCAAACGTTCAGAAAATCAAAAACTGAATTTCTGCTTCATAAAGACAAATAAAGACGAGAGATCAGCAGCTGGAGGAAAGTCAGATCTGATCCTAAATGAATCAGATTAACTCCAGATGTTTTCTCTGAACTGATTTTCATGTTAAAATGTGAATATTTTAGATTTTTGCTCTTAAATCTCAGCAGCTGCTGATTTTAATGCTTCAGACTCCAAATATGTCCTGAGGTCTGAGAGCAGCTAATGCTAATGCTAACTAATGCTAATGCTTTGTTGTAAACAAATATTTTAGTCATGAGTAATCTATAGATTACTGTTCCGATTAATCCAATAATCAGATTCAACTATTTATAAAACATGGACTAATTCCTGTTCATATCCATATGAGTCCAATGTTTCATTTTTAGCTTCTATAACGTTTTCCTGAAGAGGAGGAAGTCAGAGCTCCGCGCAACGCTCATAATGCCCCCGCCAGAACACGCCGCACAATAATAAAACATAAACTAACGAAGCTTCAGGTACATTTTCCTCCAGGAGTTTTAATGATCAGGGAAGTCGAATCATTGGAGGAAAACTTTCAGCCCTAATGCTAACGCTAACGGCCTTCCTCATATTCCCTGTTTGGTTTCAGCCAATCAGCAGCAAGGGAAATGCAAGGCTGCTATGCTAACATGTTAGCGTAGGTGTTAGCGAGTGGAGCATTCAGCTTCTAAATATTTATTTACATCCACAGAAAAGTGTTGGCTGGATTAGATTTCATTAGATTTCATCCATCATCCATCATCCATCCATCATCCATCCATCATCCATCCATCATCCATCCATCCATCATCCATCCATCATCCATCCATCATCCATCCATCCATCATCCATCATCATCCATCCATCCATCATCCATCCATCATCCATCCATCATCCATCCATCCATCATCCATCCATCCATCATCCATCCATCCATCCATCATCCATCCATCATCCATCCATCCATCATCCATCCAACATCCATCCATCATCCATCCATCCATCCATCCATCATCCATCCATCCATCATCCATCCATCATCCATCCATCATCCATCCATCCATCATCCATCCATCATCCATCCATCATCCATCCATCCATCATCCATCACCATCCATCCATCATCATCCATCCATCATCCATCCATCATCCATCCATCCATCATCCATCCATCCATCATCCATCCATCCATCCATCATCCATCCATCATCCATCCATCCATCATCCATCCAACATCCATCCATCATCCATCCATCCATCCATCCATCATCCATCCATCCATCATCCATCCATCATCCATCCATCCATCATCCATCCATCATCCATCCATCCATCCATCCATCATCCATCATCCATCCATCCATCATCATCCATCCATCCATCCATCATCCATCCATCATCCATCCATCCATCCATCATCATCCATCCATCATCCATCCATCCATCTTCTGCCGTTTATCGGGTCGGGTCGCGGGGTAGCAGCCACTTCCTCTGGGGGAATCCCGAGGCGTTCAAAATATTTCCACTCCAAATGGAGCAAAATAAATAAATGAAGTGAGAAATTCTTTAACATGTTTCCTTCGTCTTGTAGAGAAACTTCTTCTTCTCTCCTCATGATGGCGCTCACACCGGCTCCAGTTTTTGGCGAGTTATTCCCTCCCACTGTCGCCACATGCTAACCAACTGGTTTACAGTATCAGCTGAATGTTGCATGTAGGGATGAAAAGGTGAAAGTTCAGCTTGGCTCTCTGAGTCCAGGTCACACTTGATGGGTTATAGTTGACGATTATTTTAACAACTGATGAATCTGATCAGTTGTTGAATCTTAACTGTTGATAAGCAAACCAGCCAAGTAATTTCAGGAAGCTAAAAGTTTCCAGGTTAGCAAAATGTTGCAATGCTAAGCTAATGGTTAGCGGATTAGCAGAGCGCTTCCTGGCTGATGAACTGTTAAGATGAGACTCCTGGTGTTTTTACGAACGTCTGTGATGGAAAACCTGCCGAGTGAAGAGCAGCTCAACTTCCTGGAAAATAAGCTAATCGCTGATTAGCGCCGCTGAGGCTCAACAAAAGCAGCAGCTGCAGGTTTGAATCCCAGCCTGCCGCGGTTACCGCATCACACCTGGGCGCTAATCCTACAACCCGCCCTCTGACCTTTCACTCAGGACACGCTTAGATTATTATTAAGCCCTGAACATGGAAAAAAATCATGAAGTATAAAGACAAAATCTGAGAGGAAAAAATGTTTTTGTGATGGGAGGAAGACGCTCCATTGATTGGTAGTGTGTGTGTTTGACCACCAGGAATGACGCTACGCTGTGTGTGTGTGTGTGTGTGTGTGTGTGTGTGTGTGTGTGTGTGTGTGTGTGTGTGTGTGTGTGTGTGTGTGTGTGTCCTTGACAGGCAGGATATAAACGAGCCGCTCCAAGCTTCAGAGCACAGCAGCGACCAAGAAGAAGAAGAAGTCTTCACCTCCCAGAATCCACCAGCAATAATAACAAGAAGAAGAAGAAACATCAAACTGTGGTGAGTTTTGATTTTTCACTCTGTTCATCAGAAATTCAAATGTTTAGATTCAATAAAACAGAAAAGTTAGTTTTTAGCTAACGCTTAAAATAAACTGTCATGTTTTGGAATCTCACCTAAAATGTTTTATTTTCTTCATCATGGAAGTTTGATTATTTATTACAGCCATAAAAATGTTAAGGATGAAACATTGAAGTGGTTAATAATGAGATGTGGTCTGTGATTGGTGGACAGGTCATGTGTCCTGCGTGGCTATTGGTGGCCGTGGTGGTTGTGGGCGGAGCCAGAGGAGCGGCCAGCCAATGCTGGGAGAGTCTGAGCTGCCAGGATCTGAACAGCGAGAGCAGCATGATGGTAAAATGATCCTCAATATTCAACCAAAACCACATCAATCACTTTCACTGTTCAATACTAATCAATATTGGTTTTCCTGATCAAATTCACCGATCAGCTCATCCGTCAGCATTTTTATTGAGATCAAAATTACAGGTTTTGTGGAAATAAATTAGAAATATTAGCAGTGAATTTGTGATATTATATCTGATGGTAAATGAGGCAGTAGAGGAGAAAATGAATACTGCCACCTGCTGGTGGGAGGTAGCATCGCTGATAATGATGCGTTAGTGAAAAATGGGGCTTATTTTGATTTTATGTGATTTTCATCTAAAAAAAAACAGAACAAAAAAAAAACTTTTTGATTGAAAAATGACTTTTATTGATAATTAATCTAGATTGTTGAGAGCAATGTAGTTCCATAACGTTTAAGTGAAAAGCCTGGTTTCATTTGTTTTTAAAATCCTGGTTAATTTTCATTTTATTTTCTAAATCGGTTCTGAAGAATATTTGGGTAAAAAGCTTTTTAAATTAAATTTCCTCTGCCTACATGCCCCAGAATGCCTTGCGGTAGCCGTATTATTGATCAGATCCAGTGAAATGTTTGCTATCAAAGTTTAATGTTATTGTGGTTCAGAACAATATTAAGGCTCAGCTGGATCTGATCCTCTGGGTCGCAGGACTGCATCCACGCCTGCCGCTCCGACCTGACGGCCGAGACACCCCTGGTCCCAGGTGACGCCCACCTGTCGCCGCCCCCCCCCCCCGCCGCCCGCAGGCCAAGCGCTCCTACTCCATGGAGCATTTCCGCTGGGGGAAGCCGGTCGGCCAAACGCCGCCCCGTCAAGGTCTACGCGTCCAACGACGTGCAGGAGGAGTCGGCCGAGGCGTTCCCCGCCGAGATGAGGAGGCGCAGCGACGAAGAGGAGGACGAGGAAGAGCAGCTGCTGCAGGAGAAGAAGGACGGATCCTACAAGATGAAGCACTTCCGCTGGAGCGGGCCGCCGGCGGGAAACGCTACGGAGGATTCATGAAGAGCTGGGAGGAAGGGAGGCAGAAACCGCTGGTCACACTGCTGAAGAACATCATCAACAAGGAGGAGCAGGTGTAGCCAATGAGACGCCGCGCCTCGCCTGGTGTAGCCAATGAGACGCTGCGCCTCGCCTGGTGTAGCCAATGAGACGCTGCACTGGATTTCACATTCATGACTCCATGTAAATAACTGTATTTATTATATGAGTTATTTGCAAGCAAAAGGAAAGACGAGTTTGTCTTTTGTTCTTTAAACCAGCTCAGTGGCCTATTCAAAGTACAGTCATCAAATTCAACTTTAAAACTAAATCATCCGAAACGGGAACAAACATTTACTGGGTTTTCACTCCAACAGAAACAAAAAAGAACCAAATGGACTGTTTGGTTCTGGACTGTTTGGTTCTGGACCTGGAGACCAGAACTTCAACTGTTATATCAATAATAAATCCCCTTTAAAGTTTTCATGTAACCATTCAGTTGCAGTCACTATGGTAACAGTCACTATGGTAACAGTCACTATGGTAACAGTCACTATGGTAACAGTCACTATGGTAACAGTAACTGGTCTGAAGAACCAGAACTTTCAAACTGAACAAAGATCTGATTATTCTGAACAGGAACAGATCAACGGCTTTTATTCCTTAAATATGTCCATAAATTGAGTTCAGCTGCAAAGTAAAGCTGCTTAGTCATTAAGAATGAAAGTTTTATTATAATTTAGTCCATTGCATAAAGTCTCTTCCTGCTCTGACATATTTTGATGCTGAAGTTGCATTAATGATCAATTCATGCTGCAGTTCAAAGTTCCTCCACTAGAGGGAGACATCCTGTCACCTGACAGGTGGATTGAAACTGGTTCCAGGTTTTTCTCTTTCCGTTTTCTCTTTAGAGTTAGAGTTTCTCTTTCCTGTTGCTTTTAATGTCAGGAAAGTTGCAGAAAGTCTGAACTGAAGCGGAAAAACTGCCAACAAGTTTAAATATTGGAGCAGAATCAGATTTATTTCAACAGATTATGTCAGGCTGGTGTATCGCAGCACTCGGTTCTGGTCCGAACAGACGGGTTCAGAGAATCCTGCAGAAACATGAACGCACCACCAGCAGACCAGCAGGGTTCCACTTGGAGCTGCAGTCCAGGTTCTGGTTCTGGTCCAGGTCCAGGTTCTGGTTCTGGTTCAGGTCTGAACTCGCTGCAGTCCAGGTTTTGATGGAGCTTCAATCGTTTCTCCACACAAGAAAAGTTCCTGAAGAGCAAAGAAACATTTCAGAACAAACGAGGTTCAACAAACTCTCAGTTTCTTCAAGAAGGTCGGGTTCAGGTCAGCGTATGAAACTCGGGGTCAACATACTCATGACCTAACCCTCCCCTGGAAAGGTCAAAGGTTAACCTTGTCATAGATGACTCTCAGGATGAGCGAGCAGCTGGGACATGCGGCCACCTCCTCTCCGTTCTCCAGGTCCTCCTGCAGCAACAAACAGGGACTGAGGTCAGCCAGCAGGTCAAAGGTCAACGTGTAAAAGCCACAACATGGACATATCCAGCAGGATTTACAGAGGAGGATTTGGGTTCAGCGGGAGGTAAAGAACAGAAATAAGAGCTTTCACTTCAAATCCGGCTAAAAAGCTATTAAAACAAAAATAACTTACAAAGCAAAATAATAACATAACTTCCAAATAAGTGGAGAAATGTGTCATTATCTGTAGCCGAATCACGCGCCGAACACTTTACTGAACGATAAGGAACATGTTTCTGTGAGCGGGTCAGTGTCGGTCTGTCCTACAGCTGAATCTAAGTTAAAATCCCAGATCTGATACGGACTTTGGCTAGGACCGCGGAGGCGACGCTCACCTTGGTTATACAGAAGCGGTCACCACAGGGACAAGGGAAGTAATAGGCCTCCGTCTCCTCGTCAAACTCAAAGTCCTCGATCTCCACCTCATCATGAAACACCGACATATTTCCCCGGAGACACCATCAGCTGCTTCTACCGGGCATTTACCGCGACACGCTGATCAGCAGGCTGCGGCGCGGAGTGATGACGTCTCTGTCTCTCGCTGTGACGAAGGCGTGAGACAGTAGTAGCAAAGCTAGCTATGCTACTACAGGCAGTTATTACAATCAAACAGGTGTGTGTGTGTGTGTGTGTGTGTGTGTGTGTGTGTGTGTGTGTGTGTGTGTGTGTGTGTGTGTGTGTGTGTGTGTGTGAGCAAGGATTTACAGCTTATAGACAAAATGACGTCTCAGATGTTGGTTGGATAAAATTCAAGCATTTATTAAATATTTAAAATATACAAAATTAGCTGAGAGGATTTAGTTTGTATGTTTGTGTGAGCGCATAAGTATGGATATAATTTAGTTATTTTAAGTTTTGTAGATATATAAGGAAAATTTATTTGTGGATTACATCTCCGTCCACTTGATGGCGGTAATGCACCAAATTTTTAAACTGCCAGAAAACACTATAGAAGAAGAAGTTGTTCAGGCAGTGAGGGATGCACAGCCTGGAGTCCAAACATGCAAGTTTTTACAATATTTCCGTCATGAAAGCACAGAATGAACAGTTTGATGTAAAACATTGACCTTTGAACTTTGCAGGTAAAAAACTGCAGTGGTGGAGGACAGTGATGGATGATGGATGATAGATGGATGGATGGATGATGGATGGATGGATGGATGGATGATGGATGGATGGATGGATGGATGATGGATGGATGGATGGATGGGTGATGGATGGCTGTTGGATGGATGATGGATGGATGGATGATGGATGGATGGATGGATGGATGATGGATGGATGGATGATGGATGGATGGATGGATGGATGATGGATGGATGATGGATGGATGGCTGTTGGATGGATGGATGATGGATGGATGATGGATGATGGATGGATGGCTGTTGGATGGATGGATGATGGATGGATGATGGATGGCTGTTGGATGATGGATGATGGATGGATGATGGATGGATGATGGATGGATGAATGGATGATGGATGGCTGTTGGATGATGGATGGATGATGGATGGATGATGGATGGATGATGGATGGATGAATGGATGATGGATGGATGGATGGATGGATGATGGATGGATGATGGATGGATGATGGATGGATGATGGATGGATGATGGATGGATGATGGATGGATGGATGATGGATGGATGGATGGATGGATGGATGATGGATGGATGGATGGATGGATGGATGATGGATGGATGGATGATGGATGGATGGATGGGTGATGGATGGATGATGGATGGATGATGGATGGATGATGGATGGATGGATGGATGGATGGATGATGGATGGATGGATGGATGGATGGATGATGGATGGATGGATGGATGGATGGATGGATGGGTGATGGATGGATGATGATGGATGATGATGGATGATGGATGGATGGATGGATGGATGGATGATGGATGGATGATGGATGGATGGATGATGGATGGATGGATGGATGATGGATGGCTGTTGGATGGATGGATGGATGATGGATGATAGATGGATGGATGGATGGATGATGGATGGATGATGGATGGATGATGGATGGATGATGGATGGATGGATGATGGATGGATGATGGATGGATGATGGATGATAGATGGATGGATGATGGATGGATGGATGATGGATGGATGATGGATGGATGGATGGATGATGGATGGCTGTTGGATGGATGGATGGATGATGGATGATAGATGGATGGATGATGGATGGATGAATGGATGATGGATGGATGGATGGATGGATGATGGATGGATGGATGATGGATGGATGATGGATGGATGGATGGATGATGGATGATGGATGGATGGATGATGGATGATGGATGGCTGTTGGATGGATGATGAATGGATGATGGTTGGATGATGGATCCTGTGCTGACCGGATATACAATATCAGAACAAACTTTATTAACAGTGTATTTATTGACAGTGAATGAGTTGCTGTGTAATATCCTCTGTAATCCCGGTCTTGTGCGAAATTCGGTTCCCCTGTGAAAATCTGTTCCCTGCGTCGGGAGCGCGCATTACAGCCAGAGAGGCGAAAGAGGCGGATTTGATCATTTTCACGTCGCTTCTGATCGATTTCTCGGTAAAAAACAACTAATACAACCATGTCAATGTTGTAACACTCAGTTTAATTTGCAGCTGTTGTTTAAAAAAATTGTAAAATAAATAAATAAACGAGGTCTTCTGACGCTGTTTTGTGTTATTGTAAACACCAAGAGAATCGCTCTTTTCTCACGTAAGTCTAGCAGAAATAAAAGTCAGTCACCAAACAGTTTTCCCAACACGTGGTGTGTATGTAAAGGTTTTTGTGAATTTGGAAACAGTTGTTCTATATTCCCCAAGGTTATGGAGTAAGGAGAGGAAATAATGGATGATTCAGCAGCCTGAAATAATCTGTTCCCCCTCCATAAAATGGGAACAAATTATTTTACCTGCAAATGCTTAACTGTGCTTATTCCTCTCATCATCAACAATAAATCCTGTGAATTTGGAAGCATTTGCTCTTATTTTGCCAGAGTTATGAGGGGGGAACCATATATTTCAGCTGGCAAAAATATTCTGTTCCCCCTCCATAAAATGGGAACAACTGCACTTACCAGCAATATTTTTTTCTCTGCTTATTCTTCTCATCATCAACAATAAATACTGTGAATTTGGAAGCATTGCTCCTTTTTTGCCAGAGATATGAGGGGGGAACCATATATTTCAGGTGACTAAAATATTCCGTTCCCCCTCCATAAAATGGGAACAACTGCACTTACCAGCAAGATTTTTTCTCTGCTTATTAATCTCATCATCAACATAAATATTGTGAATTTGGTAGCATTTGCTCCTTTTTTGCCAGAGATATGAGGGGAAACCATATATTTCAGCTGGCTAAAATATTCCGTTCCCCCTAAATGGGAACAACTGCACTTACCAGCAAGATTTTTTTCTCTGCTTATTCTTCTCATCATCAACAATAAATACTGTGAATTTGGAAGCATTTGCTCCTTTTTTGCCAGAGTTATGAGGGGGGAACCATATTTTAGCTGTTTTACCTGACTGAAATTATCCGTTCCCCCTCCAAAACATGGAAAAAAATTTATTTATCAACAGTAATGATCAACAGCAAACTGGCTGTTTGCAAACAGCAAGTTTGAAAACATTTCATCACTATTTGCAAGAGTTATGAGGACTAACCATACATTTTAGTCATCTGAAATAATCCGTTCCCCCATATAACAAGGTAATAAATCATTAAATCCATTGGTCCATTGACCAACTGTATTTTTGATACAGTTGGTCATTCCTTCTATACATAAAAATAAAAAGTTATTATTTACTTTTTTAACATCCAAAATAGTTCAAATAAATATGAGTGTTGTTTTGATGTTATTTATTAAATTATTTTTTCTCTTTAAATGTTTCTCTACCAATTTACAAATATTGTAGAAGATAATCTATCTTACAATATAAACAACGTGTTTTATGGAAAGTCAAAATCACGTGATCTTCTTCCTGCAATCAATTATGCAAATGTGCAGGTGCTCTCTGTTTTCATCGGATAGCTTATCACGTTTTGCTTAATTTTAAGCCAAGTATTTCTTTAAGTCGACAATTTTCGTAAATATGGACAGTGTGGAATATGAAACACTCTTTAACTATAAGGTTAAAGGCGAATATCCACCACAGTCGACAAAGCAAAAAAAATATGTCATTCGAAGGAAAGCCTCGTCTTACAAGATTGAAGGTAAGTGTTTTTATCTTGAATAAAAATTGTCTTGAAGATAAGCTCGACATTAATATGTATTTAATAGTGGAATGTTATCTTAAGACAGTTACATAACACTCAATATGTTTTTAAAATTTAATAATGCATTTAATGTAGATTGATATGTGTCCACACGAACGCTCCAAGTTATAACGTAGTAATTACGTACAATCCTCTTATCTGCAGTTGCTATAAATGTGAATTACACTTGTACTCCATTTCTATTTTTAATTTCTGTAGTATAAAGTTTGCCGTACTAATAAATTAATGAATAAAAGACATAAAAACCAACAAAGTGGACAATTGTGAACAAAAAACATAACGTAAACAAATTCAAAGACATTACTTCCCATTAGCAGTGTTTAGTTTATTTTTCAAAATTTTTTACCTTAAAAAAATGAAGCAACTACATCTTATTTCATTTTGTGTTTATTTCATGTTTCTTGTTTCAACCTCTACGTGTAACTCAGGCAGTAGTTTACATTTTCATATTTTCATAATTATAAATGTTTTGTGACAATATAATTTCATGCTTCAGTCTGATTTTTATTGGTGTACTCTATCTTTTCCAAGGAAATGAGCTTTTCTATATTCGACAAAAAGGCAGTCATTCCTCGACAACGGTCAAAGTTGTCAAAGGAGCTGAAGAAGCTGGAAGAATATTTGTTGACTTCCATGCCAGCCCTACTGGTGCACATTGTGGACAAATAAAAACAACTGATGCCATCTCCAAGAGATTTTATTGGCCAGGAATGTCTGTGGACATCAAGAAATGGGTATGTTACATAAAGCATAGGATTAAGTAAAGACTTTTCTCTAGTAATACCAACTAAAACATTTACATTTTTGGCAAATAAATGTGTAAGCCTTATTCATATTAACAATATGAATCGGTAATTGTACAATAATGTCAACTTTGCATGTGCAAAATTCTTTTTTTATTTGGTCTTTAATTAACTTCATAGGTCTCTGAGTGCTCATCCTGTCAGGCGAGTGCCCAAGCACTGAAACAACCGTCAGTGTACACTCCCATAAAGGTAAAATAATTCTTAGGAAAAAGAAACATATTCATTGAAAATACATGATAGTGTGCATCAGTGGTTGGTTGTCCTCTTGCCTGTGTTCTCATTAAGGGCCTAAATTTTGAAAAGTTGAATGTATGACATTTAGCAATGTATTTTTATTACAGTGCTTTTATAAACATGTGAAAATATATTGAGAAGTTACTATTGTACCTTAACCAAATAATGCCTGCAAACATTTTACTGTTGTCTATTATTCTTTATTTATTAATTTATGAAGTCTTTCATTTAAGGTTTCCCATC